GCAGCATACAATTGCACACAGCAGTGTCCCACAAACAGTCATGGATTGAGTGACCAAATTATTATTATTTTTAAATATTTTTGAAGGGAGTATTACCCCTGGAAAAGCGATCCGCCAATGGACTAACAACTGGGTTCTTACTTATCGCTAGGAAAACAGAGGCGTGTGTGTGGAGTAAGGAAACTTCCCTAAGGTTTCGCCCTGACCGGGAATCCAACCCAGGTCTTCTCGCTTGTGAGGTGAGCGTTCTAACCAATACGCTACAGACCTCTACACCCGCCCTTGACCACATTTCATTTACCCCCCCACCACCCCCTTTCCCCAAACCTCCTGCAGTTTACTCCTGTTTTAGATATCTTATCAAGCTGTCCTTTGAAAACTAATACAGATTTCAGGGCATTTCAAATCCTATCCAATCTGTCGATGAAGAATTTCTCTTAACCTCCCCCATTTGCTCGTTTGCCAATTAGTTGACACACCGACCAGTGAAAAAAATTTCTTCCTAATAAACAAAATTCCTCATAAACTTAAATAGCTCGCTCAGGCCACACCTTAACCCTTTTTGTTCCAAGGCACATAAGAATCTCTGCATCTGATATAGTGTCTCGTCATGTTGCTGAGAAGTCTCAAAGTGCTTCACAGAATATACTGTGAAGTGGCTGTGAATTGACTGTGTATTTTGGGGAGAAGCGCGGCAGCCAATTGTGCACAGCAGCGCCCACAAGCAGTCATGGATCGAGTGACCAAATTTTTTTTTTTGAAGGGACTATTACCCCCGGAAAGTCCATCAATCCACTAACAATTCCAACTTACTGGCAGGTAAACAGAGACATGTGAGTGAGGAAACTTGCCTAAGGTTTTGCCCCTCCCGAGAATTGAACTGGGTCCTTTTGTTTGTGAGGCAATGGCGTGAACCGCTATGGTTATTTAACAGTTTTATTTCTAGTTAACAGTTATTACTGTTAGATGTATGTCTAGGTGAACACAGCTGAATGTGCACAGGAATGTTCCACAGGTGAAATGAACATTTGTTTGTGGGATTGTCCTTCAGGACAGCGGGAGAGAGATGGTCTCTTCACTTTCCAAATAGAGTCATGAGATCTTTAATGTCCACCTGACTGGGCAGATGCGACATCAGTTTTAGGTCCGAGCTAAAGTTGGGCCTCTAACAATACAGTACTGCCCCCCGCACCCAGTAAAACACTGACTGTGAGCTTGAACTGTGAGTGAGCTCTAATCCAAATGCATGGGGTTTGAACCCACAAACTTTTCTCCCCAGAGGGCTACTGACTGAGCCAGGTTCACATGCAGAATACAAAAGAAAATCTAAATAATGTTGAAGGCCGCCACAATACATAGCCAGACAGCTTTGCCAACAGAGCCTTGAAGGTTGTGATTGTAAACATGGTGTGTTTATAGTTCGCAGACTAAGCTTAGTGTGGTTTACAAGAGTGAACATGTTCACACTGCTCTCGAGAAGGAGCTAGCGAACAAACAAAAAAGATCTTAACCAAGCTGTTTACCTTTGTTATCACACACCGAAGTAAAAGACGAAACAAGAAAAACATAGGCCTCAACGTGTTAACACGTTATTTTCCTATTGCCAATTTTTTTCCTGCGCTGCTCTTCCCCTCTTCTCTTAAATGTGCCTTCTGTCGCTCAGTCTTTTATTTATTTCACACTTCATTTAACCCTGCAAGCCAAAGCCCTAACGGGTAGGGTGGTCCTAGCTGGACAAACAGTAGGAAAGCTTGCCAAACAGCGCTATCAATGGCAAGCTATATGGTTTTAGGATTAGTTGGTTAGACTCCAGCAGTTATCTCAACGTACAAATAAGTAGAAGCAGATTCCTCGGGCGGGTGAGTTGGTAACCAGAGGACACAGATTTAAGATAATTGGGCAAAGAACCAGATGGGAGATCAGGAGAAATATTTTTACCCAGAGTTTGCCTGAAAGAGTGGTGGAAGCAGATTTGACAGCAGCTTTCAAAAGGAAATTGGAAAGATATTTGAAAAAGAAACATTTGCGGGGCTATGGAATAAGAGTGCGGGAGTGGGACAAGTTGGTAGGTCTTTCAAAGAGCCATCACAGGCACGATGGGCCGATTGATCTCCTTCTGTGCTGTAAGATTCTCTGATTCTATGTAAAACGACCCGAAAATTACAAGATTTTGTAGAGTGCAATTTTCGGTTTTCTGAATCAAAAGTTCTCAAATCGGACTCAACTCTCATTCAAACGAAAACAGGAAAAGTTCACACTGTGATAAAATTGTTTTTATTATGCACTTTTATTAATATGCATACACATAGAAAAGCCAGTTCAACCAGCAAAAATCTTACATTGTGGATACACAATAAAACAATATTCTTTTAAATAAAAAAGATTAAAATAAAATCAAGGTTGGATCATTTTCCCATTAACCTAAAAAAAAGCCAATGGGATTTGCTTATTGTCCGCAGGTTGGAGCGAATGTAACAAAGCTTTCAAGAGTTCTCGAACCTTGGAATCTCCTCTCTCCTACTGTGTACTAATCCTTCCTTTTGATATTGCGCCTTATCATGTTGCCGAGACGTTTCAAAGCACTTCACAATATGTACTGTAAAGTGGAAAGTGGAGTGACTTTGCATTTTGTGGGCGAAACGCGGCAGCCAATTCTGCATAGCAGTGTCATACAAACAGTCGTGGATTGAGTGACCAAATTATTATTATAATTATTTTTGAGCGATAACTATCCCCAGAAAGAGATCTGCTAATCGACCAACAACCAGGTTCCTATTAACTGCTGGTAGGAACCGTGTTTGTGGAGTAAGGGAACTTGCCTAAGGCTTCACCCTGCCCAGGAATCGAACCTGAGACCCCTCGCTTAAGTGAGGCGAGTGAACTAACTGCTATGCTACGGAACTCCATGAATTTGCAATCCTGCATCTTGTTCAATAAATGACTTTGACTCTGAAAACCTGGCGGCTTGACAAGCACAAACAAGACGGTGTTTCTGGTGCGAGCCCAAATGCAGCACAAAATAGTTGACATCCAGTGAAAAAACAGCAACTCCTCCTTGGCAACTATCTGTGTTAGATAGTTGCCGAGGCTTAGGAGTTGCTGACAGTTAAATTTAACACGTTTGTGCCAGAGCGGAATGGCATTTGATTCTTGTCCTTGACCTCCCGAAGAGAGAGAGAGAGAGAAATAGAAACAACATTCCACCCACTCAAACATCAGGGTGAAATGTACAGTGCTCGATCATTTTACCACACTAGTTATTCACACTCATCATAGCACACTCTCAAAGGAGCTCTGTCACTTTGGTTATGGAGTCCTGTAGTGTAGTGGTTACTGCGATTGCCTTGCAATATGAGGACCCGGGTTCGATTCCCGGGCAGATTCCTTAGGCAAGTTTCCTTACTCCACACACCCCAGCAGTAAGTTAATTGGTAATAATCCCTCCAAAAACATTTTGGTCACTGAATACACTACTGTTTGTGGGACACTGCTGGACACTGCGCTTTAGAATGTATTTTGTGGAACGCTTTGAGATGTCTCAACGCAGTGAGCAGGCGCAATATCAAATGCAAGGATTATTATTATTATTATTTACAATAATTCAAAGTGCACAGTTTTTCAACTCGACAGAACACAGCGTAGGAGCGAAAGAGAACTTGTGAAATGTCACCTCTGGAGTCCAGCATTGAAATGTGTCTTTGAATTAATGTGTCACGCACAAGATGAACACGACTCTCTCTCTCTCTCTCTCTCTCTCTCCCTCCCCCTCTCTCTCCCTCTCTCTCTTTCCCTTTCATGGTGCTTGCCTAAAGAAAAATAAAAGGCTGCACTAAATGTTTTATCATGACCCACGTTAGTCCACTCCCAGTTGCACGTCCTTTTGAAGTAACAGGACAAGTGACAGGAGCCAGCATGGCACACTGATGCAGTGTAAATGAAATGAAGTTTCGCTAAAAACAAAACAGCACAGAACGCACGAGTAAACCCTACGTATCGGATCGCATGGCAATCAACAATTCATTTCACGGAAATGAAGACTAAATCAGCCTCCCCACTCCCTCCCGACCCTGGCGGAGTCCGCAAAATCACTACAACAACAACAACATCAACAACAACAACTCACATTTACACAGCGCCCCTCACTCAGGATAGTCCCAGAGCGCTTGACAGTGGCGGAGTACGATTCCGAGCCGGGGGTGGGGGGGGGGGCACGGAGGGGAAGGTGACCGTAGGATTTTGCAAGGAGAACGCTTCCTCCCACCAACCTCACATCCTGATGGACCGGAGAGGCACTAAAGTGGCATCACAATAACTCACGTATAAGAAGACAATATATGTGTCCTTCATAAATATCCACCTCTCCAGGTCCCCCTCTCTACCCTTTGCTAACAATGCAAAGTGTGTTGAGATATCATTTACGCAGTTGCTGATGTAAATCTAAATTGCATTGTTATTGTACAGCAGTCTTAATTAATGCAGGAAAGGTGAAAACTGGAACATAAGGCGGTAAAAGGTTGCGAAATAATAACTGTCATTGAAAACATTGGCCAACGAATACACAGTCACTACACCGGCCAGTAGCGATTTTTGAGACGTCTCCTGGTGCCACAAACGCATCAAAACATAAGGATTATCTGTAAAGATGGGACGTCCTTTTGATTGGAATCATCAGAGCAGATCGTTTCAAATGCCTTTTCCGGTTGACAGAGCCGAGTTTGGCTGGGAGTAGAAGACAAGTGCCATTGACTAGGAAAGATGTTAGATGTGGGTGCCATGAAACCACAATGGATTTTTGGCAGCTTGCCATTCAAACAAATGGACATAAAAGACATTGCTCAACTCTGCAGCACGAACATTGAATGCCATGGAGGTGATTTATGACTGAGAATCGGTGTAATTGAGGAAGAAAACTGAGCTGGCATTTATAAAGAAGGCTAATCATTGCTGATGAGACCTCTTGTAAGTCGTTGAAAGCAGGTTAGATATAGTATCCTGGGTGGTTCAGTAGAGCTGGCAACGAGGAAGTTTATTGAGGCTGACGACAATCTGGCTCCTTATCTAGGGCAGTGCGTTTCGGTCACTTGATGCCAACGCGACTCTGCCTTTTCTCAGTAATTGTCTTATCTGCGAAGATGGGAACAGGTAAACATTTAACTGCATATCATGGCACTTTGCCACTGATACTACAATTGCCAGGTTTCTTCCTCCGCAGCCAGTTATCGCTGTGATCTCCTGTGTCCCATCCACCCACCTCACTTCTCAGTCTCTCCCTCCGCTTTGCCCGCTTTGTGCCCTCCTCCCACTCTACCCCACGAGCTCTCAGCCACTGTGTCTCCAGCTCTCTGCGAATCTCTTCCCAACTGCCTCCTGGGATCGGTCAACATTCAAGTGAAATGAAACCCAGAGCCCGATGTTTAGGGCCTAAAATGGGTAAAATTCAAATCACTCTTGACTTGGGGCGAATATATATATAATATATATTTGTGGAATCCTGTAGCTCAATGGTTAGAGCACTTGCCTCACAAGCGAGTGGACCTGGGTTCGATTCCCGGGCAGGGCCAAACGTTGGGCAAGTTTCCTTACTCCACATGCCTCTGTTTGCCAAGCAGTAAATAGGAACCTGGACAGTAGTTGATTTGTGGATTGCTTTTTGCGGATTATTACCTTCAAAATAATAATAATAAATTGGTGACTTCAATCCACGGCTGTTTGTGGGACGCTGATGTGCGCAATCGGCTGTTGCGTTTCGCCCACAAAATATACAGTCAATTCACTTTGCTGTGTATCCTATGAAGCAATTTGAGACGTCTCAAAGACGTGATAAGTTGCTATATCAAATGCAAGGATTATTATTATTATATATGACTAGAGGGACTGGAGGATCCATTCAGAACCACGAGCCGGTTCCGCCATTCTAGAAGATCATGAATAATATAATAATGATGAATAATAATGGTAATAATAGTAATATGGTGAGATTACGACCCTGAGAGGAACAAACCGTTTACCCAGAAAGGGAGTCTCTTTAATTACCATAAATTTTTATCTCGTTAGGGGCTACGTTTGGCGGCGTTTCAAGGTGTCTTTCTTGTATTAATTAGCGCAATTCTTTATGCCAATGCCCAGGTGCCAGCGCTTGCTCTTACCCGGTTCCCTTGCTCTCCCTGATGCACCAGGTGAATGGGCTGCTCGTTCTCCAGGTTTCGGACACTAGGATCAGCTCCGTAGGACAGAAGCAGCTGAATTATTCCCTCTTGGTTCGGCTCATTGCGGAGCCCGGCCGCCATGTGCAGAGCTGTGTTCCCGTGCGCCTGGGAAATGAGACAGACTTGTTCAGAGACATTTCAATATCAGAGAAGATTATTAACGGAAATCCTTGCATTCGATTTAGCGCCTTATCACGTCTTTGAGACGTCTCACAGCGCTTCATAGGATATATGGTAAAGTGGAGTGATCGTGTAATTTGTGGACGAAACGTGGCAGCCAACAGGACCCCAGAAGCCAGTTATAGTTCCTCAGCAGTTTCCCCGCCTGAGATATGCATGAACTCTTAATGGATCAATTTTTTTGAAAAATTCATAGTTTCAAAAACTAATCACCGTAAACATTTTTTTTTTTTTGGCTTTTTAATGGGTCAGCTTCCAGCTTAGTGCTGATTCACTGTGGTTCAGGAAGAAGTTATGCAAATGATTTTGAACTGTTCAAGAAATTAATCATTAAAACATGATATTTCAACTGTGTGTTGCCTTTCCGAGGGTTCTTGTTGGCTCCAATTAAGACAAATATCATTTGTTGGATATTGTGTTTCAATTGATTAACGTGGAGTTCTGTAGCGTAGTGGTTAGTGCCAGAGGACCCGGGTGGGACGAAACTTTGGGCAAGTTCTGCCCCCACCCTTTGGAATTCCATCCCACAGTCCCTTCGCCTTGCTCCCTCCCTTGGGTTTTTCAAAGTATGTCTCAAGACCCTCCTCTTCGACCGCACATTCGGTCGCCCTCCTACCCCCCAACCTCCCTGCCCTCCTAAGAACATAACATAAGAACATAAGAATTCGGAGCAGGAGTAGGCCGTTCAGCCCCTCGAGCCTGTGCCCCGCCTTTGGATAAGATCACGGCTGATCTTCAGACCTAACTCTAATTACCTGCCCAATCCCCATATCCCATAATCCCCCGATTTTTTAAAATTCTATCAGTCTCAGCCTTGAAAATGTTCAAGGACTGACATCTACTGCCTTCTGGGTAGTGAAATCCATAAAGTCACTGCCTCTGAGTGAAGAAATGTTGAGTTCCTCAACTCTGTTCTAAAAGGCTGACCCTTAATTTTAAGACTGTGACCCCTGGTTATAGATTCTCCCACCGGGGAAACAGACCCTCAGTGTCTACTTTATCAGCTCTTTAGGAATCTTATATGTTTCAATAAGATCTCCCCTAACTTTAGAGAATACAGCCCTAGTTCCTCTCCAAATTCCTGACTGTCCAACACCTTGGGATGTCCTCCCGATGTGAAAAGTGCTGTGTAAATGTAATTTGTTGTTGTTAGTCGATTGGTGGATCGCTTTCCGGGAGTAATTATCCCCCCCAAAAAATTGGGACACTGCTGTGTGCAATCGGTTGCCGTGTTTCACCCACAAAATACACTGCCAATCCACTCTAAAGTATAATCTGTGAAACGCTTTAGTCGTTTCAACGACGTGATGAGTTGCTATATCAAGTGTAAGGATTATCATTATTATTTATCTAATACGTATTGGGGAAGAGGGGCTTGGTGGTCTTATTTGCGCTATTTCTTATATCGCACACAGGGTGACTATCTATTAATTAGATACTTAATTGACATATTTCAGTTATATACTTCAAATTATATATTTGTCTCGAGTTGCATCCAGAAAGGCAACAGATGGTCCAAAAAAAAAGTTTTAATGATTGAACGGGATTCCTAATTAAGAAATCTCCTTAACCGGTACCAGAGTTTAAAGCTCCTCCCTCTATCGCCACCCCCTCACCATCCCCCAACCACCTAGAAAGCAGCTTTGAAACTAAATCACAGACCTTCATGTTGATGGACTCGGGCGAGATGGCAGTGGCGAGATCCAGGAAGTATCTCAGGAGCACGAGGTCCCCTTCCAGGACGGACAAGTGGATCGCGGTCTTGTTGCTCTTCAAGTCCTGCATCGCACAAACCAGGAGCGTTAAGAGTCGCAGAGTGGTAGAAGTTGAGGAAGAAAATGGCCAACAAAAAGGAAGGCCATTTTTCATGTCTGTACCACATTCAAAAAGAGAAGGGAGTTTCTCTCTCCCCCGGTGTCCTGGATGACAATCCCTGGGGTAAAACCGGTCGCTAATTTCGTGGCTGTTTGCGGGACGCTGCTGTGCCCCAACTGGCTGCTGTCTTAACCTACAAAATTACACTTCACAGTAAATCCTGCGATGTGCTTAGAGATGGTGTCCACTCATGAAGGTATCAAATGTTCCCTGAATTTTCTAAATCACTTCATCACTCAGAAGCTTACCCTGTTTCCCTTTGAACGATTCTATTGATCCAGCCTCCACAGCCTCTTGTGGCAATGCATTCCATCCCCAACAAGACTCTAAGTAATCCTTGGCTTTTGTTACAGTGCCTTATCACGTCTTCGTGACGACTCAAAGCCCTTCATAGAGTACACTGTAAAGTGAATTGACTGTGTATTTTGTGGGCAGCCAATTGCACACAGCAGCGTCCCCACAAACAGTCATGGATTAAGTGATCAAATTATTATTTTTTTGAAGGGATTTTTTTGAAGCCCCCGGAAAGAGCTTCACCAACCAACCATCAACCGAATTCCTACTTACTGCTAGGTACACATAGCCGTGTGGAGTAAGAAAACCTGCCTAAGGTTTTGCCCTGACCGAGAATCAAACTTGAGTCCTCTTGCTTCTGAGGCGAGCGCTCTAACCACTACGCTACTGTGAAGATAATAATATTAATAATAATAATCCTTGTGTTTGATACTGTGCCTTTCACTGGATTTACTGTGAAGTGTAATTTTGTGGATTAATGTGACAGCCAATTTGCGCACAGCTGTGTCCCACATGCAGTGAGCGTCCAATTTTATTTGGGGGATTGTTGGCCAGGGCACCAGAAGAGAGAGAGAAAGCCTCTTCTCTTTTCGAATAGCGCCTCGGGATCTTTAACATCCACCTGAACTTTAACTCTCAACCAAAGGACCTAGAGCAGAGGAGGTTGAGGGGAGATTTAATAGAAGTGTTCAAAATTTTGAGGGGTTTTGATAGAGTGGACAGGGAGAAACTGTTTCCTCTGGCGGGTGGGTCGGTAACCAGAGGACACAGGTTTAACATCGTTGCCAAAAAGACCAGAGGGGAGACAAGGAGAATTTTTTTCTTACCCAGAGAGTTGTTAAGGTCTGGAATCCATGGCCTGAAAGTGGGTGGAAGCAGATTTGATAGTAGATTTCAAAAAGGACTTGGATGGGTGCATGAAAAGGAAAAATTGCAAAGCTATGGGGTAAGAGAGGGGGGTGGGACTAGTTGGTAGCTCTTTCAAAAAGCGGTCACAAGCACGATGGGCGAATGGCCTCCTTCTGTGTAAGATTCTATGAATCTATGATAAGCGTCTCACCGAGCAGGTTGAGCAGTTGGCAATTAGCTCACAGCGGGGTCCCACAAACAGCCACAGAGTACCTCATGAGAAAGCCTAACGTGCAGTGTATTTAAAGGCACAGTTGCTTCTCAAACAAAGAAAACCATTGAAGTAACTGTCGATAGTGAGACGTTACCGCTTAGTGAAATGATTTGGTAAACAGCTCACCTGGCTGGTGACCAAGGCTCCCATTTCAATCAATAACCTAATGCAGGCCTGCAGTTGCCCAGCTTTGTACTGGAGCTCGCTCCGTCTCTGAGGCAGCAGGGCAGGGCTGTGGCACAGTTCCCGATACACTGTGTTGTGAGAATTGATGGCACAGTGCAGCGGTGTAAAGCCTGAAACACACAAATAGCTGGTTAGACTCCAGCAGTTACCCTCCAACGCACATTCTGGACTCCCCCCGGCAATCAAGCCTTGGCTCTTGCTAAACCTGCGCGTAAAACTTTCCGGATTTAGGTCAGCAGGATGCATCCTTCCGTGGAGAGAGAGAGAAAGAGAGAGAGGGCCATGGGGGGCGCATTGCATTCCAACAATCTATCTGGAATTTCCACATGTAGGTGGAATTCTCAGTTTGGTTTGGATACTGGCTGACCCCCTCCCCAAAAAAGGAACTAACATGGGGTTTAGAGCTTCTGACCCAGAGGTGAAAGCATCACCAACTGAGTCAACTTGTAATCTGAGAATATGGCTCACGCCTCTTGGATTTCATGTAAAAGATATCTTGAGTCTGCAGGGCACTGACTCAATAAAGTTGTGTGAAATACAAATTATTGGCAGCACTGCTGATTAATGTTAGTTTGGCATGCAGTCTCAGTCACAACAAAAATGAAATTAATTTCACACAGTGTTTTTGGGCAAGAGTCAAGCCACAGAATAGAAAACAGTATTGAAGATAAAAATTCCCAGATTCCCTGTAACCCCTGCAAGGGTTTTATCGCAAATTGCAGGGGGTGGAAATGACCGAAAAGATAACTGCAGAGCCATCTCAGCCAAGTAATGGGTGGAACAGTTTAGTTGCTCTAGAAAGCCTGAGATCAACAATACCAATAACAACCCGTGCATTTAATAATAATAATCCTTGGATTTGATATAGCGCTTTTCACGTCCTCTAGATGTCTCAAAGCGCTTCACATTATAGGCTGTAAAGTAAATTGACCATATATTTGCAGGCAAAACGCGGCAGCCAATTGTGCACAGCAGCGTCCCCACAAACAGCGGTGGATTGAGTGACAAAATTGCTTTATTTTTTTTGAAGGGATTATTACCCCGAGAAAGCAATCAACCAATAAACTAACAACTGGGTTCCTACATACTGCTGGCTAAACAGAGGTGTGTGGAGTAAGGAAACTTGCCTAATGTTTTGCCCTGCCCGGGAATCGAATCCTGGTTCTCTCGCTTGTGAGGCGAGTGCTCTAACCACTGAGCTACAAGACTCCGCATTTGATATAGTGCCTTTCAAAGGGAAAGGATATCTCAAAATGCTACACAGGGTTTTTATTGTAAAGAGCAGTGACTGTGTGTTTTCGTTGACGAAATAGCTGCAGGACTCAACCAACCCTCAGCTATGAAAATGCATTGAAGGAAAGATTACATTGTCAACTCACTAAGAAAACTACAAAACAACATACAATTGATCCACTTTTCAGTGTATTCTGTGAAATGCTTTGAGACATCTCAAAGATGCGATAAGGTGATATATCAAATGTAAAGATTATTATTATTGAATTGACTCATAGAGAGTTTACAGCACATATGTCCCGTGGTGCCTGTGCTGATGCTATCTACCTTGTAAAGTGGAGTGACTGTATTTTGTGGGTGAAACACAGCAGCCAGTTTTTGTCCACAAGCAGTGTCCCACACACAGTCATGGATTGAGCAACCAATTTTATTTGAGGGAATTGTTGACGCAGACACCAGGAGAGAGAAACTCCCTTCTCTTTTCGAATAGCGCCATGGGATCTTTAACTTCCACCTGGACAGGCACACTGGGCCTTGGTTTAACATCTCATCTGAAGGACGGCACCTCCAACAATGTTAGTTTAGATGTGTGATGCCAAGTCCCAATGTGGGGCTTGAACCCACAACCTTCTGACCCAGAGGCGAGGGCGCAACCCAGTGAGCCAGTCTGACACACAATAAAAGGGTAGCAACAGGGAACACATGCTCATCAGATGCCCCATATCTGATTGTGCACCTGAACCAGTGCATGTCCCAATGTGAAACCTGCTTATCCTGATTAACTCTAACAAATTCCCCAGATATCTAAATGGTCAACATATTTCAAGGCGATTAGCCATTCCTGTTCCAACAAGAAAGAGTGTATTATATATCCAATTGTTTGGTGCCAGGTCTTCACTTATCTTAAGTGAGTAGGCTGGTTTGCTTGGGATTAAATTGCTGGTTGGGGTTTTGGGAGCATTAATTTCGCTGTTCTTTTGCACCTGCAAACTTCCTGATGATCCAAGCACACTTCTCAGCCAACTCAGCAAGCTTGTCTTTATATCACGTTACATCGCAATTAATCACAGAGCAACAGGAGGCTTTTGGGGAATGACCTTATCGGTGGTGAATTTGCTGGATTTCATCTGGTGTAATTGTTTACCTAGCAGTAAGTAAGAACTCGGTGGATCGCTTTTCCGAGCGAAATAATCACTTACATTTTAAAAAATATATATAATAGTCATAATTTGGTCACTCAATCCATCACTGATTGTGGGCCATTGCTGTGCACAATTGGCTGCCGTGTTTCACCCACAAAATATACAGTCACTGCACTTTAGAATATATTCTGTGAAACGCTTTGAGACATCTCAACTGAATAGATATATTCCCACAAAAGGGAAATGTGCGACAACCCAGCCAGCCTGGATGACCAGGGATATTAATAATATTCCATTTGCATTTGATATAGCGCTTTTCACGTCGGGAGGACGTCCCAAAGCGCTTCACTGAACAAACTGTAAAGTGAATTGACTGTATATTTGTGGGAAAACGCGGCAGCCAATTGCGCACAGCAATGTCCCACAAACAGTCGTAGATTGAAAATGACCAATTTATTATTGTTTGGTTTTGGAGGATTATTATTAGGCTCTGTGTGAAGTAAGGAAACTTGCCCAAGGTTTCGCCCTCTGCCTGGAATTGAACTCAGGTCTCTCACTTGCAAAGCGAGTGCTCTAACCACTGAGCTACAGGACTCCACATTCTGTCTAGGATGAAAGAGAAGAAGATGGCGTACGACAATTGGAAAGCGCAAGGCACTGAGGATACCAAAGCGCATTATAGAGAATGCAGGAGTGATCTTAAAAGAGCGATCAGACAGGATAAAAGATCGCATGAGAAGAGGTTAGCGGGTAACATAAAGGGGAATCCTAAAATATTTTACAAGCACATAAAGGAAAAAAGGTAGTTAAAGGTAGGGTGGGGCCAATCAAAGGCAATGACAGCCATCTTGTTGTGGAGGCAGAGGAATGGCTGATGTACTGAACCAGTACTTTGCATCTGTCTTCACAACGGAAACGGATGCCCCAAATGCCGCAGTATTGGATGAGAGGGTAGAGGACATAGATCAGATTACTATAGACAGAGAGGAAGTACTGAAAAGATTGACTGGGCTCAAAATTGTAAGTCCCCAGGACCAGATGGGTTTCAACCAAAGTTGCTGTGGGAAATACGGGTTCAAATAGCGGAGGCTTTGGCCATTATATCTCAATCGTCATTGGACACAGGAGTGGTGCCAAGAGTCTCCAAGAGACTGGAGAGTGGCTAATGTTACCCCACTCTACAAAAAGGGGCAAAAAGACAAACCCGGAAATTACAGGCCAGTCAGCCTAACCTCGGTAATAGGAAGACTACTGGAGACCGTAATCCGGGGCAGAATAAATCTCTACTTAGAGGAACACGAGGTAATTAGAGACTAGGAATGGGGAACCTTAGCTATGAGGACAGTGGAGAAGTTAGGACTTTTCCCATTAGAGCAGAGAAGGTTACGCGGTGACCTGATAGAGGTCTTCAAGATCATGAAAGGTTTCGACAGGCGAGATAGGGAAAATCTGTTTCCGCTGGTAGGTGTGTCTATGACCTGTGGTCACAGTCTTAAAATATCTACCAAAAGAAGCAGAGGGGAGGTTAGAAGAAATGTTTTCACTCAGCGAGTTGTTCGAATTTGGAATGATAATAATAATAATAATAATAATCCTTGCATTTGATATAGCGCGTTTCACGTCGGGAGGACGTCCCAAAGCGCTTCACAGAACACACTGTAAAGTGAATTGACTGTATATTTGTGGGCGAACGCGGCAGCCAATTGCGCACAGCAATGTCCCACAAACATTGGTAGATTGAAAATGACCAATTTATTATTGTTTTGTTTTGGAGGGATTATTATTATTAGATCATAATTATTATTATGATCTGCCCGAAAGGGCAGTGAAGTCCGATTCGATAACAGTTTTTAAGAGAGAACTGGACAGGTATCGGGGGAAGGCGGGTTTGCAGGGTTATGGGGAGAAAGCTGGTGATTGGGGTTAGTGAAAGTGACGCTCTGTCAAAGAGCCGCACAGACTCGATGGGACGAATGGCTCCTTCTGTGCCGTAACATTCTATGAAATCTATGAAACCCGGTGAGAAGGCGCAATATCAAATGCAATAATATTATATTATTATTGTTGTTGTTGTTTGCAATAATTCAAGGTGCACAGTTTTCCAACTCGACAGTAGGAGCTGACAGGGAACTTGTGAAATGTCACCTCTGGAGTCTAGTATTGACACGTGTAGTTGAATTAATATGTCACGCAAAATATACAGTCAATTCACTTTACAGTATATTCTGTGAAGCACTTTGAGACATCTGGAAGACATGACAAGGTGCTATATCAAATGCAAGGATTATTATTATTATATTGTTGTGGCTGTATGTTTAGTGTCATCGATGATAATTGTCACGAGAATGAATTTGTTTTGCGTGGTTGTTGTTGTTTAACACTGAGAGACACAATCTCACCCACACACCTACCCTAACATCCAGAAAATGTTAGCTGCTTCTTCTGTTTTTTTAGCTCTTCTGAAGCTGACTTCCTGCCCACCCGCCTCCTCCCCGTCCCCCTAACCAATCGACCCATGCTGTGCCTTCCAAAGAGGGATGACACTCATTGATGTAACTGGCTTGAATATCGTTAAAATACCTTCAAAATCTCGTGCTTCCACATTCACCAGTCCGCCAGTTGCTCCGACAATCTGGAAGAGTAGAGACAAGTTAAAGAAAATAATAATAATAATCAATATATAGTTATAGGGTTACAATATATAGTTTGAGACACGACATGTCAAGCGACTGCCAGGATGGTGGAAGGCGAACTGGATGGACCTTGGGCTTCTTTCACCAGGAAATCTTATGTCCTTATTTTCTCAATAGTCCTTTTATTTGATACAGCGCCTCATCACTTCGTTGAGACGTCGCAAAACGCTTCACAGAGTATATTGTAAAGTGGATTGACCGTTTATTTTGTAGGTGAAATGCAGCAGAAGTTGTGCACAGCAGTGTCGAACAAGCAGTCATGGATTGAGTGTCCAAATTTTTTTGAGGGGCAGGGAGGGATTATTACCCCAGAAAGTGATCTGCCAATCGACTAACTGGGTTCCTACTTACTACTGGGTAAACAGAGGCGTGTGGAGTAAAGCTTTGCCCTGACCTGGAATCGAACCCGGGTCCTTTAGCTTGCAAACCAAGCGCGCTAACAACTATGCTGTGGGACTCTAGAATAATACTATACTCCATAATACTACGTACCACACTTGGCTTTGCTGTGCACCTTCTCTACCTGTTCTACATTTGCTGTAAACTGAACCCAGTCATCTATCATTAGATTCATTGCTTGGAAGCTTCCCCTCACTCTGATAACACACGCTGGTGAAATAGATTTCACAGACCAGAGGTGAGAGTGTAGTGCTCACTGCCGAAAACTGGGACGGAGGGAATGGACCTGAAGTAGAAGGGAGTGTCCGGGTCAGTAAGGTTGATGAAGTGACTTAGAGGTCAGGTGGAGTGAGACACTGGATGGAGTTAAAGGTGATACAGTGGGGTACAAAGCCTGTATCATAGGTTTTTCTCCCCTCCATCCCCATCTTCAGGTCGTGCCTGAAGACCTTCTTCTTTGGCCGTGCCTACGGTCACCTCTCCCTCCCCCTGGCTTGACATCGTGCTCTGCCTATTGTCAAATGCTCTGAGACGCCACCCTGTGTGAAGGTGATGTGTAAATGCAAGTTGTTGTTTGTTCTACTCATACCTGGAGGATGGTCAAGTAGCCGTAAGTGGCGGCCAGGTGGAGGAGATGTTGACCTCTGTCATTGACTGAGTTGAGATCGGCCCCAAATCTGATCAGATCCCGAACAATCAGCGGCTGATTGGCTGCGACAGCCACCAAGAGAGGCGTCTGCAAAGGACACAGAGAGGTCCTTGTTACAATGGTCCTTGCATTTGGACATATATGTCTTGCTCTTGATATCGCTTCCACCAGCCTTTCAGGCAATGCATTCCAGATCCCAACAACTCGCTGTGTGAAAACATTTCTCCTCCCCTCCCCTCTGTTTCTTTTAACAATTATTTTAAATCGGTGTCCTTGGGTTACCGACACCCCCCCCCCCCCGCCAGTGGGAATAGTTTCTCCTTCACCCTATCGAATCCCCTCAGAATTTTGAAAACTTCTATTAAGTCTCCTCTTAACCTTCTCTGCTCCAAGGAGAACAATCTGAGCTTCTCCAACCTCTCCTGATAACTGAAGTCCCTCATTCCTGGTACCATTCTGGTCAATCTCCTTTGCACCTTCTCCAGTGCCTTGACATCCTTCCTAAAGTGTGGGGCCCAGCACTGAACCCTCTCTCGCTGAGGCCCAACCAGTGTTTTATATAAAGGTTCATCAGAACTTCCTGACTTGTGTATTCTATGCCCTATTTATAAAGCCTCGTATCCCGGATGCTTTTTTAACAGCTTTATCTACCTGTCCGGCCACCTTCAAAGATTTACTTATATGACCCCCAGGTCTCTCTGTACCTTCACCCCTTTTAAGATTGTCCCATCAGCTTATATTGCCTCTCCTCATTCTTCCTCCTAAAGTGCATCACTTTACATTGCTCCACATTAAGCTTAATTTGCCATGTGTCATCACCCTGACTGGTATTCAGTACAGAGAACCGGTTTGTGAGTGCCACACTCTCAGGGGATTTCTGCGCTGCCTGTCCCCTCTTCCTACAATGTCGGGTGGTAACCCACTCACTCTCCTTCTGAACCCTCTGTGGCTGTGGGGGGGGGGGTGACCACCTCCTGAAACATTCGATCCATGAACTCTTCAGCCTCCCGTATGCTATGTAGTGACATCAGTCTCTCCTTGAGCTCAGAGCTCAAGCTCGAGCAGCCAGAGGCACTTTCTGCAAACATGTCTTTCCAGGGCACACAAAGCATCCTGGAGTTCCCACATGGATTATGCATACAACCGGTCTCAACTGTTCTGCGGTATTCCCAGACATGTTTTATATTATTTTAATATAACTTATATATTTTATAATTATGCACCTCTTTCCCCCTCTGCACCAAATTCCCACTGTCACCAAATTCCTTAACAGAATTCTCACTCTGTTCCACCTCACTCAGTTCCCTCCTCACGCTGCTGGCTCTCTGCTCAAGATATAAGTGCATGTTATTGTTGTGTTGTTGAAAAGACTGTATATTTTGTGGGCGAAAGGTGTCAGTCAATTGCGCACAGCAGTGTCCCACAAACAGCTGCGTATTAAGTGACCAAATTATTATTATTAATATTATTTTTGAAGAGATAATTATCCTCGGAAAGTGATCCGCTAATCGATCAACAACAATAACTGCTGGGTAAAACCTTAGGCAAGTTTCCTTACTGGAGTAAGGAAACTTGCCTAAGATTTTGCCCTGCCTGGAAATTGAACCTGGGACATCTTACTTGAGAGGCGATCGCTCTAACTACTGAGCTACAGGATAGCGAATTACTATAATGTCTGGAAATCTCAAAGTGCTTCAGGCAGGACTTCAGAATTCAGGACATCTGAGGTCTGTTTTTACCTTTCCCCTGTGTTCTTTGGTATCAAGTCTTCTCAGCTCCCTCATGCGTTCCGCTGCTGCGTAGGCATGTTCCCGCATACCCTTCGCTGCGTAGATATGAAGGATCCTGCAATGGAACAGACAATAAGATTGGAAAACAGTGACTATAGCGTACCGGTTAGGGCACTCGCCTCGCAAGCGAGAGGACCTGGGTTTGATTCCCAGGCAGGGCGAAACCTTAGTTAAGCTTCCTTACTCCGCACGCCTCTATTTTACCTAGCAGGAGATAGTTGATGAGTGGATCGCTTTCCGGGGGTAATATTCCCTTCAAAAAAACACAATAATAATAATGATTTGGTTGCTCAATCCACCACTGTTTGTGGGACGCTGCTGTGCCCAATTGACCACCGCCTTTCGCCCACAAAATATATAGTTAATTCACTTTACAGTATATTCCGTGAAGCGCTTTGTGACGTCCCAAAGCCGTGAAAGGCGTTGTATCAAATGCAAGGATTATCAGGATTCACATTATTATAGAACTGATTCTTCCTTTGGCATTCCACAGTGCCTGTGGAGTTTCTACTCAACTCTTTTCTCTGCACTCAAACGCTCTGAGATAGGTAACTCAGTAACAGGTTACATGGAATAAACTGGTTTGGATTGCTTGTGTTTATTTTGTGTGTGTCTTTCTCTCTCCCCCCCTCTCTCTCTTCAGCCTGGGCTCAGTCACTGAAGTCATGAAATCCCCAACCCGCTTCACAGCTCCCGGCCATGCACTGCAGTATTTGACTGTTAAATCCTCTTGCACAAGTTGAGTTTAGTATCTGTTGATTCAGACGTTATACTTATTAATATTCATTTCCCAGTCAAATAAGAATAACAATAACCGTCCTTGCATTTAATACAAGATGCCTGAAAGTGCTTCATAGGTTATACTGTAAAGTACGAGTGAGTGTGTAATGTGTAGGTGAATACCGCTACAAATTTGCACACAGCGACGTCCCACAAAAAGCCATGAAGTGAAAGACCAATTTTAACACGGGTGGGGGCGGGTTGGGTACTGTCTTCCAAAAAATATAAGTTTTGCCCACAAAATACACAGTCAATTCACTTTATAACATATTCTGTGAAGCGCTTTGAGATGTCTCGAAGACGTGATAAGTTCTATATCCAATGGAAGGAATATTATTATTAATATTATTATTGTTGTTGTTGGCCAGGACTTTGGGAGAGAGAAACTCCCTCTCTGTGGAGTTCAGACCACATTACCGGGTTCACAATTTCAATTGATTCAGATCAACGATCGATGTACAGAGCGATCTTAATCCTCTCTAATTTCAGACGGACAAGGTCTGAGCACGGCTGAGATAGTGCGCTGTGATTTCATGTTGTGAGGGTCGGGGATTTGGAAGCAGAACTTGTCTTTAAATAAATTCTGGTGTTTGGAAACATTTGAGTGTCCGAATGACAACTGAGCTGTGGGCTGTCTGAATTATTTATGGGTCAAATAGAAATGCTCAGGACCAAATAAGACCAGGGCAGTCCATCTAGCCAGTCGCAAAGTTAAAAACTTGTCTGTAGTGTAGTGATTAGCCGAGAGGACCTGGGTTCGATTCCCAGGCGGGGCAAAACCTTAGGCAAGTTTCCTTACTCCACACGCCTCTGTTTACCGAGCAGTAAGTAAGAAGCTGTTAGTCGATTGGCGGATCGCTTTCCGCGGGTAATAATCCCTTCAAAAAAACGCGGTCTCTCAATTCACGACTGTGGGACGCTGTTGCGTGCACTTGGCTGCTGCGTTTGGCCCACAAAGTATACATTCAATTCACTTTACAGTATATTCTGTGAAGCGCTTTTTTAGAAGTCTCAACGACGTGATAAGGCGCTATATCAAATATTAATTGAGTTCTCGAAATAGCTGTGCCATAACCTCTTTACTGACCACAACTTGTCCCACCTACTCCCTGGGTTGTCCATCCTATACACTCAGCACCTTTCGTGTACAGCCTTTCGCTATGAACTGTCTGTTCACTCTCTTCTGAGTCGGGGCTTGGTTTGAGTTATGTTTGCGACCCATATTAAACAAAGGTTCAGTTTATCAATAACCCTTCGGGATCTTGAATGCAGTCAGTCACGGACGGACACAAAGAAATCCTACCCAGTCTTGTTTGACAATGAAAAAAGACTGCTGAAAATTGTTGAACATTCTTCAGTTTCAGCCTTAATTTGGAAACTGTTTCTTTTTTAAGAAACTCCGGAAAAACTGCTTCCAAATTGAAGGTGAATCCACATAATTGGGTCCTGCTGCATCCTCTCTCTGTGAGGTTAATAATAACAATAATCCTTATATTTCATATAGCGCCTTATCACATCATTGAGATGTCCCAAAGAGCTTCATAGAATACACTGTAAAGTGAACTGACTGTACACTTTGTGGGTGAAATACGGTTGTCAATTGCGCACAGCAGTGACCCCACATACAGTCAAGGATTGAGTGACCAAATTATTCTTCGTATTTTTATTAAATGTATTATTTTTTGAAGGGTTTATTATCCCTGCAAAAGCCATCCGCCAATTGACTAACAACCGGGTTCCTACTTACTGCTGGGAAGACAGGCGTGTGGGTGGAGTAAGGAAATTTGCCTGGGAATCAAACCCGGGTCCTCTCGCTTGCGAGGCGAGTGCTCTAACCACTGAGCTACGGGTCTTACAGGTTAATGAACTGCACCGAGAGCCGGCGCAGACATGGTTTCCTTCGCTGCTGTAAGTCTCTATGATTCTAAATTGACCTTCAGAAGTTTGAGTGAATCGTCAGTTGCGTTTCTGTTTTATCACTGGCTCAAAAACGCAGGAGACGGGAGGTGTCTGTGTGTAAACGCATATTTATTCAGGTCTCTCTTTACACAAACTGCGAGACAACAGCCACTTATTGACTTTTTACAGGCTGCCCATTCACACACGCGACTCAGGTTACACAGCTCACAAACACATTGCGGAAACATTGCAAAGAGAATCTTTGAAGAGGCATAAATAACCTTCACATTTGACACAGCATCGGGACATCTCGAAGAGCTTCACAGGATTTCACTGTGAAGGGTAGTGACTGTGTATTTGTAGGCAAATGCGACAAAATGTGACAGATCGGTTAGACTAAATCTATATTCTCCTCTGGTTCTGTTAAACTGACTGAAAACACCGTTTTGACTATTTGGTATGCTCTCGAAACTATACGTTTGAGACGTCTCAAAGCGCTTCACAGAATATATTGTAAAGTGGAGTGACTGTGTATTTTGTGGGCGAAACGCGGCAGTCAATTGCGCACAGCAGTGTCCCACAAACAGTCATCAATTGAGTGACCCAATTTCTGTTTGTTTTTTGGGAGGGGTTATTACCCCCGGAAAGTAATCCGCCAATCGACGAAAACCAGTTTCCTACTTGCTGTCGGCTAACAGAGGCATAGGAGTGAAGTGAGGAAACGTGGAATAAGAGTAGCGTAATCCTTAGCCCTTAGTTTGATGTGCACTGAGAGTGATGCTAGAGTGTTAATTAAGTCTTGGCATCGTGTCCCTTTTGGGTGGAGAAGCAACTGCGGTGCAATGTAACAAAAATAAATAAAATTTCATCCGAACTGCAGTATTACATTTTGCCGTTTAGTTATGGCATTGTCAAACGCTTTCCTGCTGATGTGAAAGGCATTATATAAATGCAAATCGTATTATAATAATCCTTGTATTGTATTGTATTGTATAGACCCACAGGGACATATGAGTTAAAGAGACAGCAGCAGAGCTCTGGATTGACAATTGATCTATTTATAACGTATGGAGCAAAACAACTCCCTTTACGTCCAACTCAACTGCAACAGTGCAGAAGTTGTGCTGGAGGGTGATGCGGTGTAATCCGGGCTCCATTATCTCAGAGGCCACACTTAGAGGTCGAAGTGTGGAAATTGGCCAACTTCTGGGTCGTCAGGTCACTGCAGATGTCACCTCCTGCCCACTGCGCACACCCGACAGAAGTGCCGCTGACATCACTTCCCTTCCGAAGTGACATCAGCGGCGTGTCCCGTTAGCCCACCACACAGGAAGCTTTCTGTGCCCGCGATTAATGCGCAAGAAGTGACATCGGCGACGACCTGGTAGTCGGCCATTTTGTAGCTCGGGTGGTCAACTTCAGTGCTTCAGGCTGAAACCCTGAGAAATTCCGTCTCCCTGTTTAGAAAGCCCTCAAAGTAATGATCAGAAGAGTGACTGGGTTCTATGATTAATTGGCTCTCAGACAGTCTGCATTGGTTTCCACTGTTGCCCTTTGTTTTTTTAATTGCTATGACATTGCTTTTTTTGCCCAGTTGGATGTCCGACACACGCTTCGGAAACCCATCACCGTTGCTTAAGACTCTCCAAACCAACTGAGAATTCCATGTCTCCCTCCTACACATGGAAATCCCAGAGATAGATTGTTGGAATGGAATGAGCTCTTTCTCTCTCTCTCTCTCCGGAAAGTATTAGGTGCAGGTTGGCAAGAGCTAAGGCTTTGGGGGAGCCCAGAGTGTGCGTTGGGGTAACTGTTAAGAGTCTAACCAGCTAAAACCGCATAGCTTGTCATTGGTATCGCTGTCTGGCAATCTTTCCCGCTGCTTATCCAGCTCGGACCACCCTACCTGTTGGGGCTTTGGTTGCAGGATTAACAGGAGCTGCCCCCAGTGACTGGTCTGCTCTTCGATATCCAGCCGGAGAGCCAGACTGGGCTATGCTGTCATCACCAGTGCCCTGGAATACTGTGGTCCAATGTCCTGTAATATTATTTATGCTCAAGCTTTTATCCTGTTCTTTTTCAAACGCCCTCGGCTCCGACAGAAGTTAGAACTCAATGTTCCAGTGGCCCTCTGTTGGGTAATTAAGCACAGCAGCGTCCCACAAACAGTTGTGGTTGAATGAGCAAATTATTATTGTTTTTATTGATTTATTTTTTGAAGTGATCGTTACCCCTGGGAAAGCGATCCGCCAATCGATTAAGAACCTACTTACTGCTGGGTAAACAGATACGTGTGGAGTAAGGAAACTTGCCTATGGTTTCGCCCTGGCTGAAAATCGATCACAGGTCCTCTCGCTTGAGAGGCGAGTGCTCGAACCGATACGCTACAGGAAGCCTTATCACGTCGTCGAGACGTCTCAAAGTGTGAGCGTTGGTGGGGGAGTAACTGCTGGAGTCTCTAACCAGCTAAAACCGCAATGATAGCTTGCCATTGATATCGCTCTATTGCAAAGGAACGTACGTGTCATTGTCCTCGTCTTGTTGGAGCAGCTTTTCGATGGGCATGTTGCCAATGGTCCGCCTGGCTGCTTCCAGTTCCATCACCTCTGGCTCAGGGACGGAAAGGGGCATTGGCACAAACTGAGATGGTACAGGCTGCGGGCAGGCGGTGTGGCAAGGCAGCGTTGGTGTTGGTGTTGGTGCCGGCAGAGACGAGAAGGTTTGGCTCCAGGAGAAATAACTCAACGGCGATGGCTGGTCGGTGAACTCCAATGGTGGGAGGACCGTGGGCGTGGGGGCTCTCAACTGCAGAGAGAGAGAGAGAGAGAGAGAACACACAGCGTGGTCACGTCAAGCACAGGTTCCTTTCAGTCTATCAATAACAACAACAAAATGACATGTGTAAAGCGCCTTTCACGTCGGAAGGACATCCTAAGGCGCTGGACAGACAGAGTTACGGACACGAGCTGAGGGTCGGGGTGGGGGAGGGTGGAGGGCAGGGGTGGGAGAGCAGGGAGATTGAAAGCACGGTGAAAGAGGGGGATTTTGAGGTGGGTCTGAAGGTGGCGAGGGAGGGGGCGGGGTTGAGGGACTGCGGGATGGAGTTCCAGAGGGTGGGGGCAGAGTGGTGGAAGGCCCGTCTGCCAACAGTGGGGCGAGCGAGGCGGGAGAATAAATAACTATCAATAAAGTTACTGCCTTTTGTGGTGTCTGACTGCACTGTAAAGCTGCCTCGTGCTGGTCACACACCTCGGAGTATAGGGGTGAAATTTGGGCATAGCCAAACATAATGATAAAATAATAATAATAATCCTTGTATTTGATACAGCGCCTTATCACGTCTTCGAGACATCTCAAAGCGCTTCTCAGGATACACTGTAAAGTGTAGTGACTATGTTTTGTGGGTGAAGCATCCCATTTACAGTAAAATCATGCGAAAATGCAGTCACAAGTTCCGTATCAAATGCAAGGATTATTATTATGATCTTTGACACCGCAAACATTTTGTCAAATACCTCCAACTTATTACTAAAATAATAATAATTTGTGATATTTTACAGAATTAGGTAAAGCAGGATGGGTCCCTCAGGGAGAGAGAGTGCATTCCATTCCGACAATCTATCTCTGGGGTTTCCTAGGTGGTGAGATGCCTGGAAATCTCAGCTTGGTTTGGAGACTCTTTAAGCAACAATGTTGGGTTTCCACAAGTGTCAGACACCCGGCTGGCCGAAAAGAAATTACTTCTAATTATGCCACTGAAACATCTCAAAGAGCTTCACAGGATTCACTGTAAACAGCAACATTACATCTGTAGAGCGCCTTTCACGTCGGGAGGACGTACAAAGCACTGAACAGTCAGGTGTCGGGGTCCGAGCATGGGGGGAGGGTTGGTGTAGGGGTGAGGGAAGGCAGAGAGGTGGGAGGGAGACCGAAGGCACGGTCGAAGAGAAGGATCTTGAGACCGGCCTTGAAGGAGGCGAGGGAGGAAGCGAGGCCAAGGGACCGTTGGATGGAGTTCCAGAGTGTGGGGGCAGAGAGGCTGAAAGCCCGGCCACCGATGGTAGGGCGGGTCGGGCGGGAGACAATGGAGCAGACCGGAGCCCGCTGAATGGAGGGAGCGGGCAGGTTGGTAGGGAGTCAGCAGGTCAGATGGCCTTATAGGTGAGGACGAGGATCTTGAACTCGATCCTCTGGGGGATGGGGAGCGATTGGAGTGGGCGGGGGTGGGAGTGATGGGGTCGCGGAGCCTGGTGCGCGAGAGTACATGAGCTGCAGAGTTTTGGCTGATCTGCAGGTTGTGAAGGGAAGAATTGGGAAGGCCGATGAAGAGGGAGATCCCGTAATCAAGCCTTGAGGTGACGAATGCGTGGGTGAGAGTTTCGGCAGCCTGAAGGCGGCGGCTGTCTATTTTTTAGGTGAATGGAGCAGCCAATTTGAGCAGAGCGATGACTCACAAACAGCCAGTAGTGTAGTGACTGCATTTCATGGGCGATGACCCCAATAGATAAAATTGGTCATTCACTTCATGGCTGTTCGCGGAGGCTGACTGTGTGTAAATTGTCTGGCACGTTTGTCTACAAATGTGCGGTCACTACTGTTGGCAGCGATTCCCTGTGAAGTTTAATAAGACATTTCGCTGTTAAACGTGGTGTATCAAATGTGGGCTTCTCACTCTGCTCCAATTCTGTTTCCCATCATTTGTACCAGTTAAGCTGCTTCCGAGACAAGTCACTGCAGGAATGCAAGGCATGATTATACATGATTTTGGGTTAGATCTGGTTAAAGTAGCACTGAAAAGTTCCTATGAGTGTCACTGTTTACATACAGACAGAACCTAAGAAGAAAAGACTATTGAAACTTACTTCACTGCTCCATTTTCTCCTATTGTGCAGTTAATTCCAGTAAACAGTAATAATCCTTATTTGTGCTTTAATGTCAACAATCATTATTTGGTACATTGCCTTTCACCTTAGCAGGACATCCCAAAGCACTTGACAGGATATAGTAATAATAATGATAATAATAATAATAATAATCCTTCCAGTTGTTATAGCGTCTTATCACATCCTTCAGACGTCTCAAAGCCCTTCACAGAACATATTGTAAAGTGAATTGGCTGTACATTTTGAGGGCGAAATGCGATAACCACTTAAGATACACTCTCAGGTGGAGAATTTTGTAGGAGAATGTTACATTGTGCCCCCCCCACCCCCCCCCGAATTACCCACAAACAGTGCTTTCAGCCACTGTGCCCGAAACGCTGGAACTCCGACCCTCAATCCCTCCCCCTCTCTCTTTGGCTCAGGGTTAAAATTCAGCATTGTTGAGCACTCTGAGAATCAATGATGTATGAAGGACACCTAGAAATGCAAGTTGTTGCTGTTGTAACTAATACTGCACAGCTTGCCATCGCCATTGCTTGCCAGACAGCGCTATCAATGGTAAGCTCGGCGTGTCAGACTCCCGGCTGATCCCCCGCCCCCTACCACCCCCCAAAAAAATGAACACAGTCTCATACCTGACAGTTCATCCCAAAGTTGTTGACCAGCGGCTGTGTGTAGGAGCCCACAGAGGGGGCTCCCACTACAGTGTATGTGGAGCAGAGAGGTGGCCCGGAGATGTCCTGCATGTACGGAGCGTTGACCGGTTCGTGAGTGGGGTATTCCAGGCAGGGCGGCCATTGGGACACCGGCTGAAGGCCAGCTGAGGCCGGGTGAGGTGACCATGTAGTGTGGAAGGATACGTCTTCAGACTGCGTTGCAGGTGGTGAAATGCCCTGAGCTTCGTCGAAGTTGAAATGCCCTGGAAACGGAGAAAGCCGAGAAGAGCAGACGTCAGCACTGATCCTCGGTAACAGTTTAGCGTCTTATGGCGTGGGCAGGATGTTTCAAAGCGCCGTGCAGGCTGTGAAACAAAGTGACTGTGTGTTTGTAGGCAAACATGGCAGCACAATTGAGCACAGCCATGTCCCACAAACAGCCATGGAGCAAGTGACCATTTTTTTTCACTTTAATAAACCGCCCCCCACCCCACTTCCCCCACCCACCAGCCCCAGTGTTGCATTGGATTGTCAGCTTAGTATTGTGAGTTCCAGTCCTGACGGCGGGTGGGGGGAGGGGGAGGGGAGGGGGGGCTTGGACCCACGACTTTCTGACTCAGAGACGAGAGCGCAACCACTGAGCCAGACTAACACCCCATAGCGGGGGGAGCAGCAAACTCTGTGCCTCTCTCCAGACTGTCGTAACCACGAGAGGGCGTAGGCGAGCAGTCTGTGGGTGACTGAGGGACCAAAGCCCATGTTGGTGGTGAATTGATTGGACTCTTGCAATGAGGTTGCGATGGCAATGCCAAGATCACAAGATTGGTTCGGACGAAGGAGGCTCTTTGGGGCAGCCGATCTCCTCCTTCCAGAACGCCTGCCCTATCGTCCTCCCATCACAGCATCGAGCTATTTGCTCCACGTTTGTGCGCCGGGTGTGCAATAATGCCCGCAATAATTCCGTTAACGTTCATACCTATTTGGGAATACGATGCCATTGAGAGGTGAGGCAGAACCATCTGCTGAAAACAAAGATATATGATGACAACAACAACAACTTGCACTTACATAGCCCCCATATCCCACCCCACTCACGCGGGGCAGCGTCTCGGCGCGCTTAACAATAGCAGAGCCTGACGCTGAGCTGGGGGCGGGGGGCGGTGGGGGGGTTTGGGGTGACCGTACGTGAGGTAAGAAAACAAAAGTCTTCAGTCGTGATCTGAAAATGGGGAAGGAGGGGGCAAGGCGGAGGGATTGGGGAGAGAGTTCCAAAGCTTCGGGGCGTTAGTGGCTGAAAGCGCAAGAGCCGATGGTGGCACGGAGGGTGCAAGGGACGAGCAGGAGGCCGGGAGCCAGCTGAGCGGAGGCAGCGGGTTGTGAGAAGTGGCCTTGGTTTCATTCTAAGAATCACAACAACGCCTACAACTTGTGGTGTTTCTGAAACAATTTCCAAATTAGAAAACCTGCAGTCGCTGAAGAGTTTTTGAGAATTACAGTAACTTCTACGATTCCTTCTTAAGAAACCCTTTAAGAAATAGAGCGAAGTTAGGCATTGAAAGCTGTTTAGCTTATCAGATAACAGGTATGCCCGATAATGTTGAAATAAATGTTTGGTTTTGTTCTTATCTATTCATGTCCCACAGTGTGCCAAAAGACAAGTTTATTTGATAGAGGTGAAATCTAACGGAACAGGCTTCAGGGTTCAACTCCTGGTCTGCGCTAAGTGATGGGACCTCAGCTGTCAGAGTTAAGAATCCAAGGTATATCTTTCATCCGGCAAATTCTTTTTGTTAACTACTTGTGGAGTCCTGTAGCTCAGTGCTCAGAGCACTCGCCACACAAGTGAGAGACCTGGGTTCGATTCCCAGCAGGGTGAAACCTTGGGCAAGTTTCCTTACTCCACACGCCTGATAATAATCCCTCGAGAAAAAAAAAATAATTTGGTCACTTTAATCCATGACTGTTTGTGGGACATTGCTGTGCGCAATTTGGCTGCCGCGTTTTGCCCACAAATACACAGTCAATTCACTGTACAGTGTATTCTGTGAAGCGCTTTGAGACGTCGAGAAGATGTGATAAACTGCTACATCAAATGCAAGGATTATTATTACTATCCCAGTGGTGTCACATAAACAGTCATGGTTTGAGTGACCAAATTATTATTATTTTCTCGACATTTCTTTTTGAAGAGATTATTAACTCCTGGAAAGCGATCCGCCAATCGACTAACAACCGGGTTCCTATTTACTGTTGGGTAAACAGAGGCGTGTGCGCGGAGTGAGGAGTTTTGCCTAACGTTTTGTCCTGCCTGCCCGGGAATCGAACCCGGGTCCTCTCGTTCATGAGGCGATCTTTCGAACCACCAAACCACAAGATTCCACTCAAAGCGTGTCACAGACTATACTGTAAAGGGAATTTAACGGTGTGTTTTGTGGGTGAAACGGGTGTTGAGTGACGTAACCAAAACTGAATATCAAGGCTCTTGGAGTCACTGAGGTGTCAGACAGGAGGACGCCTGTGGCAATGTAGAAGGGAAAAAATGAGGCAAAGTCGGTGACCGGGGTAAATGGAATGGATCTTTGTCAGCGCACAGGGCTTTTGTCAGCCGGAGTTAACCTACTGAGCTGAGGAGGAAATAAAGGAGCAATCACTCAGCATTTGCATTTAGGTGTTCCTGATCCACTTGTCTGGCAAAAATCAAACTTCTCTGATTTGCATTTCACCTCAAGGCTTTGTGAACTGCGACGCCAGGGATCAAAGCTCGTTCTCCAAGCCTTAAAGGAGCCTTCTCTCTCTCTCTCTCTCTCTCTGCCTCCCTTCATCTTTCTCTCTCCCTCTCTCTCTTACCCTCCCTCAACAACCCTTCCCTTCCTCTCCTCTCTCTCTCTCTCTCTCTCTCTCCCCTCTTTCCCTCCCTCCTTCCACACTCCCTCCCTCCCCCCCGCGCACCCCACAGACAAGGAAGGAAATGAGAAAAAGCAAGTGGAGGAAAAAAACAGTAAAAAATATAGACACGGCTTATTGACTAAATGTCCTGGCAGGGGGTGGCGAGGGGGGGGGGGGTGTGGGGAATGTTTAGGTCAGCTGATTGACGCGCTGAAGGTACTCACTGTGGTGGCTGTGTTGGCCGTTGACCCTTTCAACGTGTTTTCAACGTGTTTACGCTTCCTCTTGAGTAGTTCCTTGACAGGGTCTTTGACTCGGACCCCCAAGTAGGGTTTCTGCTGTGGCTGGTCAGAGGAGCCTGGAAACATGGAGCCACGGATAATAATACGGTAAAACTTGCATTATTTAAATCCTAATGATCCGTGCATTTGATATAGCGCCTCATCACGTAGGTGAAAAAACAACAACTTGCATTTTCACAGCGCCCCCTCACGCAGGGTAACGGCCCATGGCGCTTGACAGTGGCTGATGAGTAAGGTCGTCAAGCCTGACCTGAAAATGGGGAAGGGGTGGGGGGGTGGTGGGGGGGTGGGGAGGGCGAGGCGGAGGAGGGATTCACGGAGAGGGTTCCAGAGTTTCGGGGCATAGTGGCTGAAAGCACGGCCACTGATGGTGGAGCGGAGGGACATGGAGGAGACTGGAGGCATCTCAAAGCGCTGTAAAGTGAATTGACTGTGTATTTTGTGGCACCAATTGAGCGCAGCGGCGTCCCCACAAACAGCCGTGAGTTGTGTGACCACATTTTTTTTTAAAGAGTAATCTGGGAAATCAATTTTTGCCCATTTGGGCCTCAGTATAGTTGCCATGAGGCGGTGCAGCCACATGTACCTCTTCGTATTAAGGATGTTAAGGATTAAAGGGTATTAAGGATTTCTTGCGCACTGAAATAATAGCCCCAAAATGTCAAGCCCCAAAATTAATAATAATAATAATATCAATCTCAAGGAAGGAATCAATAATAATCCTTATAATTCTTGAATTCGATACAGCGGCTTATCCTGTCGTCGAGACGTCTCAAAGCGCTTCACAGAATATACTGTAAAGTGGAGTGACTGTGTATTTTGTGGGTGAAAAATACAAAGGAACTCCTCGCATGTGCCCCCACTGTACAACAAACGTCCACCCCCCTCGACGCTGTTCCTGCCTTTGACCAAAGTGGTGGAGATGAAACTTGTGGTAACCATTGCACTTTGTAACTTGAAGCGAGCTGCAAGCTTTACAGAAGAAAGCCTCCTTGAAGCAAAAGATGAGAGGAATATTTTTTTTCGCCGTTATAAACGATTGCTTTCTTTCTCCCTTTCTCTTCTCTCTCTGTTTTCTCTCTCTCTTTCTTTCCTCTCGCTCTTCTCTTTCGCTCTGTCCTCCTCTCTCTTCTCTCTCACTTTTCACTCTCCTCTCTCTCTCTCTCTCTCTCTCTCCACTATCTCTCTCTCTCTCTCTCTCTTTATCCTCGCTCTTTCCTCTCACGGGTCTCATGTTCCTTGTCTCTCTCTCTCCTCTCTATTTGGAGAGATCATCACTGAGCTGATGTTCACAGTTCCATCAGTTGTTTGACAAGCCTTTTGTTACTCAGCTGCCTGTTCATTCAGAAAGTTTTTATGGTCAATTGCATGAAGCCAATTTTATCTCTACAGTGAATCTCAAACAGTTGTTTAAACCTATCGAGGCTTAACAAGATGAACAGCCAAGTTGCCACAGTTTCACAGAGAGAGGGACAAAGATTTGCCTACCAAATACACAATCACTGCTCTTTACAGTAAATCCTGCGAAGCACTCTGTGAATGTTGTCCTGACAGTGGCAGGATATATCAAATGAAAGGGTTATTAAAGGTTGGGAAATATTCAATAGGTTTAATGCCCTTGAGAAAAAAGTTGCTAAGATTACACAGTCATTTATTGACCTGTGCATTTGATATCCTGCAGCGCTTTTCAAGCCCTCGAGACGTCTCAATGCGCTTCACAGGATATACTGTAAAGTGGATTAACTTTATTTTGTGAGCGGAACCCGGCAGTCAGTTTGCGCACAGCACTGCTCACAAACAGCTGTGGAGTGAGCAAGCGACTGATTTTATTTGGTGGATTGTTGGCCAGGACACCGGGGGAGAGAGCGAGAGAGAATTCTCTTCTCTTTTCGAATAGTGCCATGGGATCTTTAACGTCCACCTGAACAGCCAGAGACGGGTTTAACATCTCATCCGAAGGACGGCAACTCCAACAATAATACAGCTCCCCTGTGCTGCATTGGAGCATCAACTTAAGACTATGTGATTCCAAGTCCCGGTGTAGGGGCTTGAACCCACAACCTTCTGACTCAGAGGCGACTGAGCCAGACTGACACACATTTGCGCAGATGATATATTGAAGACAAGTTCAGTAAATGTAAGTGTACCTTGTATAGTTATTCACAACTGGAGTTACACACCTTAATCATAATGTTAATATGCTCTAGGTTTATTGTCCAGACTGATGCTTTAGTGTGTTATTAATAATAATAATAATAATTCTTGCATTTGATATAACACCTTATCATGTCTTCAAGGCATCTCAAAACACTTTACAGGATATACTACAAAGTGAATTGACTGCCTACTTTTGTGGGTGAAACGCTGCAGCCAATTGTGCACAGTGACTTGAGTGACCAAATTATTATCTTTTATTTATTTTTTAAAAAAATATTTATTTTGAAGGGATTATTACCCCCAGAAAGAGATCGCCAATCGACTAAAAACCGGGGTGCCTACTTACTGCCGGTAAACAGAGGCGTGTGGAGTGAGGAAACTTGTCTAAGGTTTCACTCTGCCCGGGAATTGAACCCGGGTCCTCTCGCTTGTCAGGCGAGTGCTCTAACCACTGAGCTACAGGGACTCCACTTTACCCCGAGGTCCTGCCTGCTTGGTCAGGTGGATGTTAAAGTTCCCACGATACCATTGCAAAAATATCCACTTGTAGGCAAGCTTTCCATTGTCTAATGATGATTTGCGTGAGAAGATCGCTTCTAAACTTCCCCTTAACACAACACAACCAGTGAGCGTTGCGAGCTCGCATGACTCGGAAGTGCAGGGGAAAGAAAAGGGCGATAGATAGGTAACTGGAAAAAACTACCAATGTAGTGGAGGAATAGAGAGTTACAAAGGGTTTCAGAAAGGAAGCAGGCAACTTGCTGGAAATAAAAAGGATTCAGGGTTGTGAGGGGAGTGTGCAGTGAGAGCGTGGAACTTGCTGTCTAAAGTGGTGGTTGAATCAGACAGTATAATAATACTGAAATAATCCTTATAAACACAAAAGCAACAACAACTTGCGTTTGCATAGCACCCCTCATGCAGGGTGGCGTCCCAGAGCCTCAAGATGTCCCAAAGAGCTTCCCGGGACATTCTCTAAAGTGCAGTGACTGTATTTTGTGGGCGGAATGCATCAGTAATGTCTCACAAACAGCCAGGAAGTGAGCGACCGATTTGGCCAGGACACCGAGAGAGAGAGAGAGAGAGAGAGAGAAACTCCTTCTGTTTTGCAATAGTGCCATGGGATCTTTAACGCATAGATGTGTTTAAGAAGAAGCTTACACATGAGGAAGAAGGGAATAGAAGGGTATGGGAGGGAATAAGGAATGGGTGACTTATTTGGAGGTTAGACACTGATATCAGAGTAATTGGGCTGAATGATCAATTACGACATCCTAACCATGTGTGACCAGGGCTCCCACTGCCTCCTCGTCCTCCTCGACCTCTCTGCCACCTTTGACACCGTGGACCACTCAATCCTCCTCCACCTTCTCTCTCCCACCTCAACCTTCAAGGTTCTGTCCTTGACTGGTTCAGGTCCCACCTTTCACACCGCCTCCACTTCGTTGTGGCAAACGGCTTCTCCTCCAGCCCCCACACCTTCTCGTGCGGTGTTCCTCAGTTGGTCCCCTCCTCTTCACCCTCTACATGCTCCCCCTTGGTGACCTCATCCGCAGACATGGGGTAAATTTCCACATGTATGCAGATGACACCCAACTCTATCTCTCTGCCTCCACCCTGAACTCCAGGACTATTGGTGTCTTGACCGACTGCCTGTCCCACATCAAGTCCTGGACGAGGGACAACCTTCTCCAACTCAACATCAGCAAGACCGAGGCCCTCCTGATTGGCTTGCACCAGCGTCTCCGCACCTCAGGCGCTGGCAGCATCAGCCTCCACAGGTGCACACTCACCCTCACTAAGCCAGTCAGGAACCTGGGTGTCTTGTTTGACCCTGAACTGTCCTTTCTCCTCCACATCCGCGCCATGACCGGCACTGCCTACCACCACCTCTGCAACATTGCCAGACTCCGCCATTGCCTCACCCCTCAGGCTGCCCAAACCCTCACCTATGCATTCGTCACATCAAGGCTCGATTACAGGAACTCCCTCCTCATCGGCCTTCCCAACTCTTCCCTTCACAAACTGCAGATCATCCAAAACTCTGCAGCTCGTGTACTCTCACGCACCAGTCTCCGCGACCCCATCACTCCCACCCTCGCCCGACCCCATCACTCCCACCCTCGCCCGACCCCATCACTCCCGCCCTCGCCCGACTCCACTGGCTCCCCATCCCCCAGAGAATCAAGTTCAAAATCCTTGTCCTCACCTTTAAGGCCATCCATGGCCTTGCCCCCTCCCACCTCTCTGACCTGCTGACTCCCTACCAACCCGCCCTCTCCCTCCGCTCCTCAGGCTCCGGCCTACTCCATGTCTCCCGCCCGACCCGCCCTACCATCGGTGGCCGGGCTTTTAGCTTCTCTGCCCCCACACTCTGGAACTCAATCCCACAGTCCCTTCGGACCCCGATACCTGACTGTTCAGCGATTTGGGACGTCCTCCCGACGTGAAAGGCGCTGTATAGATGTCATTTTGTTGTTGTTGTTGTTTCCATTTTGTATAATCTATGTTATGAAGTGACTGAGATCAATGTGTTGAAGGAAATGGGGTTTGTTACAATGGGGAAAATCACATGTGCACTATTTCATATAATTTCTTAAAAAGAAACACACAAGTGTTGAATTTATAATTGTAACAATAATACTTGCACTTGATGTAGCACCTTATCACGTCATCCAAACTTTTGAAAGCACTTCGCAGGATTTACTGTGAAGTGTAGTGACTGTGTGTTTTGGAGACAAACCCAGCAGCCAATTTGCACACAGCAAATGTCCCACAGACAGCCATGAAATTGACTGAATTGTCAAAGAGTATTATTTACAGTAGGGTCAATGCTTTCAAAATTATTAATGATAATAACATATAATAACATGTAATAAAGTTATATGTCATTTGATATAACACCTTATTACGTTGTTGAGACGCCTCAGAGCACTTCACAGAATGTAATGTAACTGTGTATTTTGTGGGCAAAACCAATTACGCACAACAGTGTCCCACAAACAGTCATGGGATTGAGTGATAAAATTACTATAATTTTTCTGTGATCCACCCATCGCTAACAACCGTGTTCCTACTTACTGCCGGGTAACCAGAGGCGTGTGGATAAGGAAACTTGCATAAGGTTTCGCCCTTAGAAATTGTGTATCTGCGAATTTTGCCTTAAGTGTGATATTAAGCGCGCATGTTACTTTCAGTTTTTATTCCCCAAAGCAGGCATCACCTCATTTCAGAATAACTGGGTAATTGTGAGTCAGCTACGATACTCTCAAGTTCTCAGGCAAGAAGACAGTGAGCTTTACCCCACAACAGACCTCTCCGAGTAGGTGAGAAAACCACGAACACACAACTAGTGACTCAGAGAAGCGTTTCACTCCCTCCTACATACTCCAGGCAACCCCTTCGTGCTTCACCTCTTTATCATCTCAGAGAACTTTTTGGCGAGCTGAAAGCAATATCACCTTTGGACAACAACCTGCACTCATGCAGCGGCCTTCACACAGGGCAGTGCCTCAAAGTGCTTAACGGTGGTGGAGCCTGGGGAGGGAGGAGGTGACCGTAAGCTCTTAAGTTGTGGTCTTGAAGAGGAGAAGGAGAAGGGGGAAGGAGTGGGGTGGTGGTGGGGGGGGCAGGTGCAAGATGGAGGGATTGAGGGAGAGAGTGCCAAAGGTTGGACAGTGATTTCTGGCATTTCAGCAAACTAACCTGTCCGTTCGATTATGAGGCAACAACAAAAACAACAATTGAACAAATGACAGCGCCTTTCACGTCGGGAGGATGTGCCAAGGCACTGGACAGGGATTTTGGACCCGAGCTGGGGATTGGGATCAGGAGGGGTGGAGCGCAGAGAGGGTATAGGTGTAGGAGGGCGACCGAAGATGCGGTCGAAGAGGAATATCTTGAGACAGACCTTGAAGGAGGTGAGGGAGAGGATAAGAGGAAGGAAATGTGGGATGGAGTTCCAGAGGGTGCGGGCAGATAGGCTGAAGGCCAGACCACCGACGGTGGGGGGTGCAGGGCAGGGGACGTGGAGCAGGCCAGAGCCCGCTGAGCAGAAGAAGTGGACAGGTTGATGGGGGTCGGCAGGTTGGAGATGTAGAGGGGGACAAGGTCATGGAGGGCCTTGAAAGTGAGGATGAGGATTTTGAATTCTGTCCTCTGAGGGATGGGGGTCAGTGGAGCCAGACGAGGGTGGGTGGGGTAATGGGGTAACGGAGCCTGGTGCGGGAGAGGACATGAGCTGCAGAGTTCTGGATGATCTGCAGCTTGAGGAGGGAAGAGTTGGGGAGGCCGACAAGGAGGGAGTTTCCGAGGTCGAGCCTTGAGATGACGAATGCGTGTATGAGGGTTTTGGTGGTCTGAGGGGTGAGGTAGTGGGGGAGTCGGGCAATTTTGCGGAGGTGGGGAAAGGTGTGAACAAGGTGTTCCTGACAGAGCGAGTGGTGTGTGCTTTTTCTCTTGTGGTTCTTACCCACAAGGTTAAGCTTAAGCTGCCCTTTAAGGATACAAGTTGTATATCACCTTTGGGTGAGTGCCTGAGGAGGCATTGTACGTGCAAGTCTATCTGTTAATACCTTTTATCGATGAATCATGCGCTTGTGGCCTGATATTTATTATACACACACTGTGACCTCTTCCTTCCTGGCCCTTTGGCCACACAGACAAGCAAGCTTAGGTAAGTTCAGCCTGGCCCAATGGGTAGCGCTCTCTCGACTCTGAGTCAGAAGGTTGTGGGTTCAAGCCTCAATGTTGGGACTTGGAATCACACAGTCTAAGCTGACACTCCAATGCAGCGCTGGGGGTGTGTTACATTGCATTGTCGGAGATACCGTCCTTCGGATAAGATGTTAAACCGAGGAGGACCCGTCTCCGTGTTTAAGTGGACGTTAAAGATCTTGCGGCGCTATTTGAAAAGAGAAGGAAGTTTCTACTGATATCCTGTCCGACAATCCCCTAAATAAAATTGGTCGCTTTCTCCATGACTGCTGGTAGGACATTGCTGCTGGTAAACTGGCTCTGCCATGTTTTGCTCCACAAAATACACAGTCACTCCTCTGTACAGTATATTGTGCGAAGCATTTCAAGATGTCTCAACGATGTGATAAGGCGGTATATCGAGGGATATATTAGGTGATCTTTAACAGCCACCCGAACAGCAGCAGATGGGTTTAACGTCTCATCTGAAGGACGGCACTTCCAACAAAACAGCGCTCTCTCCCCTCCACCGCAACGGCCTGGCCAGCAGACACTGACATCCTGGTAAGAGCTAATAGAGTATTGCCGTTTTGATACGACACACTTTGTGCCGGACGCAAATTTTAACCGTGGCTCTAAACGGAACCAGAAACACGCTCAAAGTAACTCAAGCGGCTTTAGTTCCAGTAAAACCTGGGCTCTCAGCTAATTGGTAGCGGGTGGCTTTATTTAGCAACCAAAAGCAGCAACCAAAACTGAGAAATTAAAATA